AAAATAGCATTATTACTTAATATTTACGGAATAAGGCAGAAAAGAAAAAGCGAGCTCTGCTTATCAAGCGATTGAGTTCTTTATAAGGAATCCAGAACGCGGAATTTCTGGCTAATATATAACTGTAGGCTACATACTGAGGTGAAATGTCTAGAGGAATTTGTCAAGTCAGATAAAATAAGTCAAGTGAGACCATTTCTACACAGCACCAACTCAAAGTTTGTTAACGAATCGGACCAAAGTGCTAGTCCCCATTATTTTATTGTGTGGCACCTCAGACAAATTGGGTATGAATCAGGACCTAGTTTAAAGTTAGTAAGGTTATTTCATACAGTAACTTGTGTACAAGGGGTCAAAAAAATAAAAAATAATTTAAACCTTTCTACCTTGCCATAGAAAGAGCCCAAATTTTACTTCTTGGGTGTCAATTTTCAGAAAGGTAAGGTAATTTAAAACTGCTTTTTAAAAAATAATCACTGGAACACAAAATATATTTTGTCTAAAGCATACTAGATCATGCTTCCTAGTTTTTCCAAGATCAATATCACAAAAAAAACCTGCATTAGAGCATTTTTCCATCAAAATGTTAGGTGAGATTTACATATAAATGCAGTATTTCTATTACTTTTGAGAAACTTGATAGCAAAGTGAAGGACACATTTCTCTTTCAGAATTCAAAACAAATCAGTAGGACTGGCATAGAAAACCACTTCAAAAGTTGTAATTGAATTATTTTATCATGAAGTTATATCTCAAAGATACTACAGCACAAAGTTAAAGAGACCGAAAGAAGCAACATCTTTTATTTTCCTGCACCTTTGTGACTTGACAGGTTGACATTTTCTGGATGGGAAAAACAAACAAACGATTTAAAAAAAAAAGTGTTTTAACATTCTAAAATAACTTATTTGTAACTTCTCACAACAGGTTCCAACATTTGAAAAATGGAAACAAAACTTAACACACCTACAGCCAAAACCAGATCAAAAACATTAGCCTACTCTGTGCAGGGAGCATGTACACAGACCTGTAATGTAATTATGGGATGATTTTGAAACAAGAAGTGAAGTCTAGCCATCCTCCTAAATCAAACGGATCATATCTTACAAGCCCACATGATGGCACTGTTACCATGCTGCAATCGCAGTTCAGCTCAATACAAAGCTGGTTGACTCGCATTTGTCCATTAACTGCTCCAAATTCCTCTGCCAAAACTAGCAGCAGGGAAATAAAGACACTTGTCTTAATGAGTAAATCAATTAGCATTCTTGCCAAGAACTGATACAAATCCAGCCTTACAGTTCATCAGACTCTAAGCTGATGATGCAAGCAATTTGCCTGAAGCATCCAAGACTGAATTAATGTGAAATATGACTCAAAGACCCAGAATTGAGAAAATAAAATAAAATAAAAGCACATCAATTTAAAATATGGGAAGTGGGGGAAAAAAATACAGAAAATTAAGCCAATGGCTTTAGGAACAGTAAAGCTTAAAATTTTTTGCTTTCGTCCCTGAAGGAAAGTTACACACAAACACAAAAATATTAAATAAGACAAAGACACAGAGGTTGGTTTCTCACAAAAGTTTATTTTACACTTCAAGATTTCTTGCTTGCAGCGGCAACCTGCAACAGAGCATAAGGAAAAATATCAGGATTAAGAGACAAATCAATCACATCAGTCTGGTTATTCCCTGCACCGTCGCCCCAAAATCCTTGAGAAATTCATTAACTGTGGGGAAACATTCAGGAGCCTTTCAGGTTTTGGATGTGATCTTAGCCAGGAGATTAGGAGCAACATTCGCTTCTACGCTGACACTGTTTTTGCTCATGCCACCAATGAGAAGCCAAGCATATCAACAGTGCTCTGGAAAGAGTCAGAGTGCAGATGGCACAGCCAAGGCAAGCACAACACAAGAAAATCACGTTAACTCATCTGAATTCAGCTCATTAAGGGGATCAGGCAAAATAAAACGCCGCCATACGGCAGCCCAGCGAGCACGAAATTCAATCGGCTTGTTTACTTCCTCCAGCATCGGATTGGCGTACAGCGGTAGCTCGCAAGGAAAGCGGAGGACCAAGAGAGGGGCGAAAAGCAAGCGAAGGCTTTGGAGGAGATGTGCATGCATTTCCTTTTTGAATATAGTACTGTGTCCACACTAAATCAAAGCTACTGCAGTAAAAAATAACCATGAGGCCTTTTAAGTGAAAATAGGTTCATTACATTCAGTACCTAGATCTGCTCGTTCTCATGCTGCATTGTGCAGCAACATCATTTTAATTCCTTTGAAATTTGATTACACATCTAAGGTGAACAGAATTTTGTGAACTCTGAGAACCACCATCTGTTGTACGGTATCTGACTAACTTCAGAAGCCTGACTTGGAGACTAAATCAATAGCATCTTAAATCCGATTTTACAAAAATCGATGTTACAAATGCTCAAGTTCACAAATACAGTAACCTGATAACACTTCTTACCTGCCCAGCAATTCTGTCCAGGTCTCTGGTGCCCTGAGGGGTCAGCCTACGCCCACTGGAAAACAATTGAGAGTAACACCACCACCTGCAATAATACAGATCACATATAGTCACAAGCAGCCTACAGGCTACTCACCCATTGGGGTCTTTCTCCACCATCTTGAGTCCCTCAAGGGCCTGGAGCACTTTACGGGCAACGTTCTTGGAGCCCACACTGAAGTGAGAGGGGCACACGCCGTTCCTCTTACGGCCGCCATAGATCTTTGTCATGGAGCCCACGCCAACACCTCCACGCAGGTACAGGTGACGCACTGTGGAGGCTGAGAGAGGACAGAGAGGGTCAGGAGAAGAGATTTCTTCAGGGCAGTGGAGGACAACAGGGGGCAACATGCCAAGAAACATTTCACTTTTGCTTCTAAAAGAAAGAACCAACACGAGTCTGTTCAAACTCACAGCAAAAAATACAGCACACATGGCATAAAATCTGTAACAAACTCAGCTCTTAATTTTACACAGTGAGTCAAGTGGGAACTTCAGAGAAAGAAAGTTTCATCAGTTTCTCAGCACACAGCAGAAAATGCTGATACATTAACAGGACAAGGTCACCAATAATTGAGCCCAATCCTGACACAATCGCTTGCATTAACCATCCATTGTTTTCCACCAGATTCTCAGAGTAAACATTTAGAGCCACAAAACTGTCATCATTTGAAAAACACCACATTTTTGCTTACAGCACAAAGTATTCAAACAGATCATCAATCACAAAACAACAAAAAGTTAACCACGCTTGTGCATACTAGAAAGCAAGCTAAACATGTTTTTGCTCCATCTTACTTAGGGATGGGTACCGAGAACTGGTATTTTTTTGGACCGGTACGTAATTGGGTCAATACCGGAGTACCGCGGCAAGAGTGAAACGTTCGAAAGTGTGGGCTCACGTTACAAATCTAAGCGACACCAGTGTCAGATGCAATATATGCAGTAGTGTAATAGTGAACAAAGGAGGCAACACTAGTAATATAATGAAACATTTACTAACAAAACACAACATCTACCTCAAGCAATGCGCTGTATTATGTCTCACTGCTCCAGCTCCAACTGAAACTCGCGAGACATTCACATCAAATGTTGATTCGGTAGTAGTGATGGGTCATTCTTGAACGAATCTTTAATGTGGCTCGGGAAGAGCGAGTCGTCTCGGGGAATGATTTGTTCAGTCGCGCATGCGCAACATCCTACAAGTTCTGTACTGGAATTAGTCAAGTAGTTCACCTGTTTCCAAGTCTCCGGGTTTTTCCGAGTCATTCGTTCATCACGTGACAGACCTATAAGCTTAACCTATGCAGTCTGAGCCAGAAAGAGACTTGATAATAACCAACTCTTTATTACCTTTGTTACAACAGTGTTATGTAAAAGAACCATCATGACAGAAATTCACACATTAATAAACTGCAAGAAGTAAAAAGCTACAATTTGAGACCAGAAACGCATCACGTAACTGCAAGAATATTATAATAATTATAATGATGATAATACTACTACTAATAATGACTATGCACCTGTTTGTAAGGAAGCTTGTAAATTAACTAATTTCTCTGAGCCAATCATAGACTGAAGACCCAGTTAAACAATGAATTAATCTTGTCTGTTTCTTATAGCATTATAGTTTTGTATTGTTTGTAGTGTTATCAACGTTTGCGTTAGTAGACGTGTTAGGGAAGTAACACGTAACAGGTACACTAAAAGGGCGGTCAAACAGCAGAGGTGGGGGCAAGTCACACGTTCAAGTCTCAAGCAAGTCTCAAGTCCCTACCATCAAGTCTCAAGCAAGTCTCAGCAGAAATAAAATGGACCCAAAATTTTCGGATTGTTTCTTTCACTTTGCATGACATTGTTCCATGCCTACATTGTTCTTGAAAA